TATACAGCTGCATGGTGATCATTGTGCCCTCCATCTACAGGTTTCAAGCCACGATCCTGAGTTTCTTTTCTTCCCTAGTTAAAAGTTACCAGGGGCCACTGCCTTTTAGACTACAAATAAGATAGTGCTACAAGCTGAGATACCTGTCTGCTTGGCTTTCTGTCTTCCTGCTGTTTTTACATTCATGGTGCTTTCTGATATACCATTTTCCCCTTCTTTCCACCCTATTCACAGCTGTGTGAGGATAACCATGGCGACAAAGGACTTCTCAGCTATCATATTAACTGTTTTGTACTTCTGCAAGCATTTAGTGCAATTGACAAATAATTGAAGGCAAGAAAATTCAATCACAAACTAGATGGGAGATCCATCACTTTCCCTAAAAACAGCTGTATTAAATAACATGAAGTGAAAAAGCATCAGAATACATCAAGTGTGACAGGAATCCAGCCTTCTGCTTACACAGCTCAGTGTCTTCTACAGGAAGCTTGACTCCAAAATTCTGTTCTATTTCTTGTCTGGGAGTCAGGAAGTTTTAATAGATATTACATAGGGTATTGGTAAGTGATGTGCGAAAATACAAACTCAATCTGTAATTGCAAGTGTTTTAGTTTCAGGAATAAAAAGTTACACAATGCATGCAGGGCAATGCATAAGTATTCCAACACGTAATGCATTATTACAATACTTATTAAGACAACCTGTCTCAGGCAATAGAGGCTTTATTTAAATTAACAAGTCACGGGACATAACAGGACTGGATATATAGAAGGAAAAATTCAGCGCTGAGAAAACATTAATGGTTGAAATATACAGAACTCTTACTTTGATTGCCTTTACACTGATCCAAATCGCTGTTAACAATTGAAATGTATTATGTGCGCCTGGGACTGTGTCTCCTGCTCCAGCACCACCTGAAGTGGAATTGCACTTCCCTGCTCAAGGTCTGCTCTGTCCTGTGCACTTCCAGGAGCTGTTTGTCATGGAACAGGCCATGCTGAATTTCTTTACAAACATGTTTCAGGTGTTCTGAACTTCAGCTTGTGGCTTTGCAAAAAAATGTTAATATAAGGTTTTGAAAGGTTTTGTGGTAGCAGCCTTCTTCTCTCTAACAGAACAGAAATGCTGTCCAAGGCCAAGCACAACTGATAAATACACTACTGGCCTACATGTTCTCGGCCACTGCTCAAATGCTCATCAAAAAGCACACTGCAAATTTAAAGAACTCAAATGTACTGAATTGTTTTCAGATTGCTTAAGAAATACTCTTCTGGTTGTACAAAAAAAAAAAAAAAAAAAAAAAAAAAAAAAAAAAGTTAAAAAAACAGCTATTAATTTGAGTGCATTTTCAGTTCACGTGTTTAACATGAACTATAATGTTAGTAAATAAAAGTCTATTTCAGTGCAATTCTTTAAAAGGAGATGGATAACAAAAGGCAGTTTGTTCCCATGAGTGTCACCCACTCATGTTTGCTAGTACTGAGCTGGTTTTGTATACACCAGCAGCCGTATGTGATAACAGAGCATTTATTTGATAGCTGCCCTAGCTCTGATACATCCTCTTTCATTTAGTTTAGCACCAGGCCAATATGCTCAGTATCACCAGGGTGGTCTACAGTCTTATGATCCGCATCTGTTTATCTAACAGTACCATTTTGCGTGTGTGTTTTTATTTTTGGTTACTGATTAGGACTGAGATTTTCACATTACACTCATGCAACTTGAGCACACAACATAGCACCACCCACGACTGATGCTAACCCTTTCTTCTTTACTGCACAGGATAACAAAGCCAATTCATCTGAATAATTACACCATCGGAGGCAAGTGAGGGACCTGACCGGCAGGTAGCTACCATGTGATTTTTTTTCTTAATCTTTCCTTTAGAAAGGAAAAGAAACACCACAGACAGAAGCCTCGATTATCCAGAATTCAAAGGGCTTGTGTGTCAAAGCAGCACTTCTGCTGAACTCTGGCTCCCTATGAACCTCTTTCAGAGTTTACATTTGTAATTTCCAGCTCAAGGCTCTCAGTTAAATTGTTTCAGCTGTTCATCTTCAGAGCCACCCACTCATAAGTAAAAATGAGTACTACAAAAATAAAATCCTGGCAGGAAATTTATGAAATTCATAACTCCAGAACAAAACTGGTGGCTTATTTTCAAGATTATCTTTTTTTTTTTTCTTCATTTACTACTTGACATTTTCTCCATTAAAGAAATACTAATTATGGTACTTATTTATACAAATACCTCATTCTGTATTACCCAGAAATCGCAAAGTTATTGTTGGATATGTATGAAGAGGGTGTTTTAAACAGAATTCTATTTTCTTCCGTATGACTTACCCATTATCATATGGAAGATAATGAAGCAGGCAGTAACCTAAATCTATTTAATAAGGTCTACCAATCTGTGAGTACCTACAACATTCACCTTTAATTGCTTTCATTATATAGCTTGATTGTGTTTGACATCATTAGGCTTCTAAACTTAGTATGTGCTGTAAGTGGTGTTGCCCATGGAACGCGTCTCCTACTTTTCCAAATCAGCAGATTTACAGTTGTCTTGCATCACAAAGCAAAAAGACATATCAAAAGCTAACCTTTCTAGGCTATACATGTTTTCTAAATTTCTTCAGAAGAGCTGATCAGGTACAGTATGACAGTTGTGTCCCACAGGAAATTATACACATCAAACAACCAGTAACACGTAAAAAATATCTTGGTCCATTCAATCCTTCTGGGGGGTTAAAAATGCAATGAAAAGCCAAAGGTGGGATTTATTCCAATGCCTGTTAATGATATTTGCAAAGAACATTTATGAGTCAGAACACAAAGTTTGCTTCACAGTGACTTAACTTGCCAGCCAAGAAGTGCTCTCGAGCTCTGCTAATCAAGGGAATGAAATGCAGCCTGTGGGATCAGGCTGAATCTGTTACTCAGAAGCTGAGAATTTAGAGTTTTGTTGAGTTACCAGACCAGACTTAGAACTTTTTTTTTTTCCAAAATATAGTTAAGTAGTTTTTATGCTTTGCCACTCTTAGCACTGAAATTTCAGTACAGTACAAGACAAATTAGACATGCAAGTGCCTATTAACGATAAAAAGAGGTAGGTGTGCCTCTTTCACAGTTCAGAAAAGTTCCAGTGGTTTCTGAGGGTCTTATGGACTCCAGAAGCCTATTCCTGAATAAACCATAATCTAATCATATAAATGTTTGATGACAAATCAGTGAGTCAGATGGCTGTATGAGGATTTCTATTTATAGTTTTTCCAAAAAGGTGTCTCCTAGTGCAGGAATTTTATTATTCTCTTCTAATATCACTTCTAGTTTGCCTTGTTTAGGAAGTTAAAAATCTTCAGACTGCTCCGTTCTTATATTGTCCTCTCAAGTAATCATACAAAGGAGTTGTTCGAAATATTCCTAGTGTTGTGTGTTAAATCACACTGCCTTCATCCAGATTTTTTTCAGCCACTGTTATTGACTAGAAATTCTTCAGTTTGACCATTTAGGGTTAAAAAGACCTGGGACTGACCAATCAACCTGGGACCGACCTGTCCTAATCCGTTTCTACTTATAAGGCAAAATTTGACTTCACTTTAAGGCAACTTTTCACACAGCCTGTTGTTCAATCTTAACAATTGCTTAAGAACTTTCTTCAAAGTCAAGCTTACCTGCGTGCACTCGAGCTTCTGAGATTTTTATTTATTTATTTATTTTAAGGGCTGGGAAGGGAGCTTAGAATCAATGTAAGAAAGACCTTGTGGAACAGGCTCACCTACCTGGCTTCAGTTTTAAGGTCAATCGCTCCTTATCTCTAATAGAAATAGCCTGACAAGGGGCTTAGTGGTTAGAGTTGACCTAATTAATTAACTACAAAAGGTGCACCAGGGTCATATTTCTGTTGGTCATCCATGTATTTCTGTTAGTCATTCTGTGAGGAAAATTAGTACAGAGCCTGTTAAATATATATATATATATATGTATATATATATAAAAGAAAAAAGAAAATGACCTTAATGGCAAAAAAAAAGGCCACATTGTCATCCATCTTCTTAAAGCGTGAATTTTCTTCAGAGTGGGAAGGCTTTGGTAAGTAAATGCTTATATCCCTTAAACGATCATTTGAGGCATGGAACATTTAGAGCAAAAAAAAAGAGGAAGAAGAAAGCCAAAGTTGGAAATCGTCTTCCTGTAAAGACAAGTGGCCCTAAATGCCCAGCTGCTTCCCAGTGCTGGGGAAAAGGTGGCACCCAAGAGGGAGGGGGGAAGAGAGAAAACTCTGGTTTTGCCCTAGAACAGGATCCTCCTGCCTTAAGCCATCTACTGCAAGCTGGTGAGCCTCAGGCAGGGGCAGGCGGGGAAGCCCCAGGACCTGCCTTTTAAACACCCCACTCATTTCCTGACTCCTCTCCTTGAAGCAGAGGTTCCCTCAGGAGCCCAGGCCCCCCCCTAAGGGTGAGCCACAACAGCCCAGGTCTCACCAGGTTTGGTATGGACCCTCCACCACTTTCCCACTTGTATTTCACTGCTATCCCCAAACTTTTCTTCCCCCTCCAGTTAAAGCCTCCATTTGCCTCTTTATAAGGGCAAAAGACGACTTAATTACTCCCAGTCTCTTCCACCTGTTTGCTTGTTAGTGCTTGTTAGCTTGCCAAATTTTTTTTTCCTCCCCCTGACCCACAATGCAAAACATGAACTGTTTTGGGCTGGGAACTTGAGAGCAGGGCCAAGGCAGCCATTTCGTGACCAAGGTGCAGTCACCAGCAGCCGTCATTTTCCTGTAGCATTTGACAAGACACGTGCACTGCGGCACGACGAGGCCCAGAGTGGCAAGGACAGGCGAGGCACTCACCTGCAGAAAGCTCACAGGAACAAACGTCAACCCACATTTAAGACTCTTGCCACTGCTGCCACATCGACCTTTCCAAGTTCTCTTTTCCTCCCCCTTTTAGTTAGCCCTGGTATTTTGGTGAACCAGAAAACAGCACACAAGCATGTGACTTCTTCCTTAGTTTATTTCACAGGTCATTGCTCAAATTTACAGTACGAGTATTAAAAAATAAAAATTTCAAACTGTGCACCACATAATCCGCAGTTCTGGGTTCAAAAGGAGGAAACGATGACACACAAAGTTCTCTTGCTTCCTCTAGAGGCATCATCATCCCTTTCCAACTTCGCACCTCTTTCCACTCTTCCTGTCCTGACTTTCTCAGAGGTTGTACGGCCAAGGCCAGGGAGCACAGCACAGATATCCTACGAGAGCAGCCGACTCCCTGATGCACGCGACCTGCACACACCATCTCGGACTACAGGTCACCTCCTCCAGCCACGGCCAAGAACCCAGACTGCCCCTTCGTGCTCTGGCAGCCTCTTTCCCGTCAGGGGCTTCTGCTCAGAGAGGTGCCTCTGGTGCCGGGCACACACAACCCCAGCAGCCCCCCAGTCACGCCCCTCAGCGAGCCTGTGGCTCTTCTGGAGTCCACATCCTAGGGCTTAGTTCCAAGTCTGGGGGCGATCTGCTTGCACAACAAAGAAGCAGAGTTGTGATGCTGCCTCAAAAAGGGAAGGCCCTTTCGGTCTTCTGCTTCCCTTTGCCTTCCCCAAAGAGCCACGAGATGAAGCACAGGCTGCTGCGGGATACCCCAGGATCAGTCCGTCACCTCTTCCTTTATGCTGCTGATGGGAACGGGAAGCTCAGTGGCTTCAAACTCCGGCAGCGAGGGGTCAATGGTTTCTTCTTTCACCTGCACGGCAATGACTAGCAAGAGACGGGAAGGAGAGGAGCATAAATAGAGGAAAAGTCAGTGCGGTCCATCTTCTACCTGCCTGGGTCCACACAAAGGCGAAATTAAACCTTTATGAGTAACTGGAACCTTTGTCAGGCTCCATTCCCGTGCACACAAAGCACCTCACCCACCCCCTTCCCCAGTACCTGCCAGGCCGGGCAGGTGACCCAGCCACCAGATGCTCTTCTGGTCACCACATCCCTTGGTGCTCAGCACCATGGGCAGTGCTGACACGCTGTGACAGCCCTTAGAGGGAGCAGGACGTGACAAACACCTCTGACATATCCATCTCCTTCCCAACAACCTCCCCCAACCCCAGCCTGCTCAGTAGGGCAGCCAGACCCTCAGCAGGCAGCAGCAGGATCAAGACATCCCGCTACAGTGATGCCATTGAGCCTCCTAGGAGGAGAACCTTCCCAGAGAAAGCAGGCTAAGGCTTTTTTGCTCTTTCAGCTCTAAAGCAGCAGAGTCTCTGCCTCTGGAGGAGCAAGGAAGCACAGCTTGTCAGAGACATATAGGGTGTACACAAGAGCTGTACAGGGCTATAGGGTTGAGTAACTCAGTCCCTTACTCTCATCGGGTGGTGGCTCTGTCAAAACCTTGATGGCAGCTTTTGCTTCTCGTTTCGTCCTCGAGACAGAAGGCTTCTTGACGGTCTGCTTGATTGGGCGGGTTTTAGCAGGTAACTTTTTTCCTTTAAAAAAAAAAAAAAAAAAAAGGAGATAACAGCATAGAGAAAAGTGAGTTCCTTTCCCCTGGAAAACCAGCACCCCTGCTCCACCGAGAAGCCATATGCCAGGGACCAGCACAACTGACCAGCAAGCTACATGGTCATTAGCTGCCAACTGGTTACCCCAAGAAAATCACCTACTGAAGGAAAACTAGATCGATCGTCTCAAAACATGCTCCTCTGTGTTGTCCTTCATTAAACCCAAGGCACTTCAGCGCGTGCTTAAGTTCCAAGGAGCTGGTCCTGCTGGAGTCAGTTAAGAGCTTTGCTTACCTGTCTGGGTCTAGCCCTAAAAACTGGGCACGGTGGCTCCAAGGCACAGACACTGTAGCATTAATATTCTCCGTTTTAGCTGATGCTTTTATTTAGGTTGAATGCCTTTTATATTCTTTAGACGTCCCTTCCCCTCTACCCCCCAGGAAGGAATCCCTTGCCCGCCTACACGATTCGCCACAGCGACTGCAACACTGACGACAACAACGACAGGATGAAACAGCAACACGGTCCAGCCCCACAGCTCGCCTCCTCAGCCACCTCGAGGCTTTCTCTCCCTCAGCACACAGCAGCCGGGGTTGCTCGCCCACTACCCTCCAGCCGCAAGGAAGAATCTCCCTCTGACCACGGACACAGTGGGGAAAGCAGCACACCTCACGCCTGGAAGCAAGCGCCATCTACGCCTCGGCCGACAGAACAGACTGCAAGACAGATCCTTCCCACACACACAGCTCTCTGCCCTTGGGGAACGGGGGTGATTAAGAAGGATGAAGCTGAGCTGTCAAACCCACAGCTGACTCAGAGCATCCACAGCAAGACAAGGCCTCTCTCTCTCCTGCTCCTGATCATAGACAGGGCTCCTCTAACTGGGCCCAGCCTGAGAGCGAGCGGGAGGGCGCTAATCAAACATCACTCACTCTTCTTTCCATAGGGTTTCTTCCTCTTCTTGGGCACCTCCTTGGCCTTCGCTGGAGCTGTGGGCTCTGTCATAGAGACGAGAGGGAAACGAAAGCCAAGTCCCATAACCAGTAGGTAACTGGGATGAAGTGACAAAAGCGAGAAACAAGATACACCCGTCCCCCCGAGTCATTGCCCTCTTCCCGAGACAACCAGCTGGAGGAAAAGCAAGGCTGGAGCGCGGTCGCTGTCCTGTGCTCCCCCAGCACAGGGGAGAGAGGCCCCGTACAGACTTGCCAGGGACAGTGGAGAAACAAGATTCGTTGCCTGGGACAAGGAGAACATCTACAGGTGAGGCAATGGCCTCCCCGTGACCAGGAAAGGAACAAACTCTTGAGAGAGGGATGCTCTTACCTTTTACAGGCTGAGTCAGAGAACTGATAAGAAAAGGGAGCAGGGGCCAAGCTGCCCCTGTGACCCGGCCGAGGCTGCGGTGTGCTTAGTAAGAGGGAACTGTGCGGGGTCAGGACCGCCTGGAACCCTACCCAACTTCAGCAGGAGCAGTTTTGTTGGCGTGCGGGTGAGGGAGTAGAGGGAAACCTGAGCCAACCTCAAACCTCAGCCTGTTTTCTCCCTGCCACAGACTCCCCCCTCTACCAGCTGCGAGGCTGTGTGGCGGCAGAGGAGGACTGGTGGCAGCCAGCACAGACCAAGCCAGCAAGCTTCTCCTCCACACGAGGCCCCAAAAGGAGGAGCCGCTGACGGCGAAGGAGGAAGGCCCCCTTTGCCTCTAGCTTGAGCTCACCTGGAACGACGGGGGGTTGGAGCTGGTAGCCCGTCAGCTCGCACCACCCCACGGGATAGATGTCTGGAGACTCGCAGTCCACCCACTGGTCGTACTCGCTGTCCCAGCCGTCGAAGTGGATGCTGAGCAGGCGGTGCACGACGCGCTTCACCGTGGCCACGCAGATGAGCCGCGGCTCCATCAGGTCCACCGCTTCCACCTTCATGCCTGCCTTGAAGCCATGGTTTGGGCAGTCCTGGGTGCGTAAAAGATAAAAAGAGGAAAACCCAAGGCAATTGCAGCCAGTCCAAACCTGCATCCAGACGGCAGCACCCTGGAACAGCTACAGGCTTACTTCCAGCAAGCAGACAGAAAAAGCCCAAACTCAAGCCACTTCGATGCCCCTCCAGCCAGCTTACAGCAGGAGGGGACATCTGAACGGATCCAAGGCCAGCTGCGTCCCTAGAGAATCTCAGCCCAGCCTTTAGAAAACAGAGCCTGAACTGGGGGAGCAGCACGCAGCAGTTAAGAGACACCTGATCAAACCCAGAGCCTGAGGCAGCGCTGGAAAAATCCTAAAGACAAGCACAGGCTCACTGCTGCTGCAGTTTTTCTGATGCCAACCAGACTACTTCCACCCAAACAGCAGCATGACCACAGGTATCAGGTGGTGCAGAACCCACCAAGAGCCTGGAGCACCAGGGAACACCGCAAAATTGCAGGTTCAGAGACATCACGACATCCACCAAGGTGTGATGGTGCTTGCCCTGAGCAGCCAGACATGGGATTTACTTGGAGATCTCCTCAGAAGTGCTGACTAGAAGCAGACAGCAGCCCTGTCCGACATCTTCATTAAGGATTTGGATGACAAGGCAGTGCTCTCAGCAAGTTCCCCGATGACACAAAACTGGGAGGAGCAGCTGACACAGCAGGGGATCGTGCTGCCGTCCAGAGGGACCTGGACAGGCTGCAGAAATGGGCTGACAAGAACCTCACGAAGTTCAGCATGGGGAAGTGCAAAGTCCTGCCCCTGGGGAGGAACAACCCCAGGCACCAGCACATGCAAGAGACTGACTGGGTGGAAAGTAGCCTTGCAAAAAAAGGACCTGGGGGTCCTGGTAGACACCAAGTGACATGAGCCAGCAATGCACCCATAGGGCAAAGTATGTTAACAGTATTCTGAGCTGCATTAGGAAGCACGTTGCCAGCAGGTAGAGAGAAGTGATTCTTCTCCCTCCACTCAGCACTGGTAAGGCTGCACCTGGAGCACTGGGTCCAGTTCTGGGCACCCCAGTACAAGGACATGGGTGTACTGGAGAGAATCCAGCAAAGAGTCATGAAGATGATGAAGGGATTAGAGCATCTCTGGTGTGAGGAAAGGCTGAAAGAGTCAGGACTGCTCAGCCTGGAGAAGAGAAGGCTCAGGGTGATCTTATCCAGGTCTATAAATACCTGGGGGGTATTTATAGGGCAGGTGCAAACAGGGTGGGGCCAGGCTCTTGTCAGTGGTGCCCAGTGACAGGACAAGAGGCAATGGGCACAAACTGGAACACTCAGGAGGTTCCACCCGAGCAGGAAACACTTCACTGTGCAGGCAGCTGAGCACTGGCACAGGTTGAGAAAGGCTGGGGAGCTTCCCTTCTTGGGGATTTGGGAAAGCTGTCTGGACACAGTCCTGTACAACCTGCTTGAGCAGGGGGTTTGGACAAGAAGACCTCCAGAGGTCCCTTCCAACCTCAGCCACGCTGACAGCCAGGGCTCTTGTGCTCCACCTAGCTGACTGCAAACATCCCTACACATCTCTTCTCCCAGGCAGCACTCACTGTGTTGAAGAGCCGTGCTGGAACAGGTCTTGATTTAGTCTTTTCCAGGTAAGTTTCCCAGTTGAAGGTCTTTGCATCTTGCCCTGCAGGAGGAAGAATTGGTCAGAAGGAAAAAGGCAGTCACTGGGCAGACCAGCTGAGGGCAAAGGCAGAACGGGCAAGAAGGAACCACTGCAACTGCTTCCAAAGCAGTTTCATTAACTGGCACGTTCGGCCTAGTTTTGGACTTCAATCTAAGGCACAGACTCCACAGCAGTCCAGCAACCCCCTCCAGTGGGCAAACAGGGAAGTTGTGCAAGATGCAGCACTGAACGCTCATGTCAGTCACACATCCAGACCACAGAGAAAGGTGAGGAGAAGGAACTAGCAGGAAGAAGCATGTTGAAAGCAAACCACTAAAACCAATCTTTCTCCCACTAGAAGCAACGTCAAAGACGACAGAACAGCACTGCACGAAGTGCTGCAACGAAGAACTTCAGAGCAGGCCTTTTGTGGTATGGCCGGATGAAGCAGTAAAATCCACTCTGATTTTTCTGCAAAAAAATCTCGAGATGCAATCCTTCTGTCTCAGATTTATTCGTGCAAGAAGAGAAGTGGTGACTCCTGCTACTTGTAATGACTGAGTCACGTAGCAATAGCTCTGCTCATCCCTCCTTGCCCTTTCACAAAGGGATTTATTCAGTTTGGGGATTGTACACCTCTCCCACTCATCCTGACCAACGTTAATGCCCTCAGGAGATGTAACTTCAATCCATAAAGTACCACAGACTTGGTTTACCATCAGAGCTCAGATGGCCTGGCTTTCTCCCCAGCCAGCCCTATCTCCCCCCAAAGCAGGCAGGGTGGGACCTCGTGGTTTTGCTTCACCTGAACCTCACGCTTCTCAGAAAAGCCCATCCAGCAGCTTCCGTGTGCAGGTTGGTACCCTAGACCACAGCCCAAATCTCACCTTTCGGAGGGGTCAGATCGATGCTGTTCTTCTGACAGAAGTTGACAGGGAAGATGGCGTGGGAGGAAGCGTGATAGCAGAACCAGTCCGAGCCGTCGTCAGATGTGGCTCCGTCAATGCTGATCATGAGATATCCATCCAAGAGGACCTAAGACAGGAGGTGAGGGGCATAAATGAAGAGCTTCACTTGCTCTAAAGTCTCTCCTTTCAACAGATTCCCCCAAGAGCTCCCACAGCTAGATCACTGTTGCCACTAGATAGCAAAATGCAACATTAACTGCTCCAGGATGTGTGGTAGCTTCTCGTGCTACGTCAGCCAGCGCAAGCTAAACCCCAAAGCAGCAACTACTGCAGGGCTGCAATTAACACTAATGGCTTTGTGAGAAAGGCTCAGCTCTAAGCAGGCAGGAGCGCTGCTCTCCCTCACAACCAGACTCCTGGCAGCCCAGAGCCTCTACACCAGTCAGGTTGTTACCAACCAGTTTGTTACTGGGCTGAAGGGAAGGGCACTGCCTTCAGAACTGCCTCTTCCTACAGCAGCAAGACTTGTCCCTTCCTGTCACTTGCTGGCAATTTGTACCTACCAAACACGACAGGCATGCCTGCCCCAACCTCGCTGCAGCTCCAAGCACTGGCGAAAGGGAACATTTGCCAGACTGAAAGCTTTCCTGGCACTCCCTTGCCAAACCCCACACATCAAAGTCCACTCTTGGGTTCTCTGAGAGCTTCTTAAGAGAGCAAGAAAGTCCAGGTACAGTGCTCTGCTCCAGGAGACGGCAAAGCTCCTCACTGAGGAAACGTGGCAGAGCAATCTGCTTTCCAACTCAGGCACAGGAGCAGAGCTCTCCACCACCTCATCAGGAGAGATCAGGAGGTGCAACCCTCCTCAGCTTCCCAAACCCATGAGTGCTGCCCATAAAGTCCCACAGCCCTTGCTCTCCTCCAGAAGGATGCTACGGATGCCTCCCTTTATGCACTCCAAGAACCAGAGCGCATTAGAGAACAAACCTAGAGGCTGTGATGTCTCAGGTGAAGCCAGGAGAACCTCCTTCCCCCTGCCCCAAACTCACCTTGCAAACCGTGGCCACACAAATGTTGCCCAAATTCAGAGGGTCGATGGCTTCCAGTTTCATGCCTTCTTCAAACCATCCGCCTTCGGCATAGACAGCCCGTACCTACGGGAGAGTCCGGCACCTCAGTACTGCCAGGGGCATGGGACAGCCCCATCCCGACATCAACTGCCCCCCTACAGACAGGATCAGGGCTTCTTTACTTGGCTCAGCCCAAGTCAGGAGGGGAAAGGAAAGAAGAAAACTACACAGAGGCAGCCAGTGCAACACTGTCTCTGCGCCAGCAAGCTCCTGCCAGGGCTCTGGCCAGTCACAGCTGCAGCAAAGCCTCCTGATCTCAGTCCCTACCAGTATGATCCAGCCCTAGGTCTCAACTGGTCTCTCCCAAGCAATCTCCTTGCCTCTCCTGCTCAAAGCTCCAAGGACTGGAGCCCTTAAATTGAGCCCTTCAATCTGAAGCTGTCTTCTAGGTCTTTATCTTTTTATTCTGCCTTTTCCCCTGGCCAACTACAGCTTTGACACCCCAAACACCTCACTGCCCTATGGCTGGAAGGGGGACAAAGGAAACCACCACTGCTTCCTTTGCTGTGGCCACCACAGAAAGCGAGACTTGTTTTACCTTTTTAAACAGGTACGGGACAGCATCACAGTAAATCTTCCGGAAGGTGGGATGGTTTGCCATGTCACTGCGCTTTTCTTCTGTGAGGAATAGAAGAGGGGAAAGAGAATTAAGAAACCTGTAGCAACCACAGTAAGAAAACATAATTATCTGTTGAAAATCTAACAGCTGTAGAAGAATCAAATCAGAGATGGGTAATAAGAACAGCTCAGTCCTTCTACATCTTCCTGTAACGTGAATTTTTGAGCACTTGCTCAAAAGCAAACGCCCAGTCTTCCTGAGCACTAGGGGTAGCACCCCAAAATGCAGCTGTTATCACCAGGGACAGGCAGCAAGGGAGACACAAATCAAAGCATCAACGGGGCTTGAGTCTAAGTCCAGAAGGAAAAAAAAAACAAAACCAAGAAAAACGGTCTCTGGAAAAACCCACGTGGTGGCATCTGGTCTTACAGAAACCAGGATGAATTTTCTCAGAAAGCTAACATGACATTGCAGATTTTGCATTCGCACAGCGTGGGGACAGACTACCTGTAAGAAACCCTACAATCCCCTGTCCCAACCTTTTATCTACCTAGATGGAAAAGTGGCAGACGTGGCTGCACGGACCTTATCCATCACGTCTTCCCAGCATGTTGAGTCCAGCGTTAACAGCAGGACCCAGGCAGCAAGCCAGCAGATGTGTGTGGTGGCCTGACCCCTACCTATTTTCTTCATGCTGTGGCCCACTCGCCGTGACCAGCCCACAGGATGGATGAGGGGGCTCCACATGTGGCACCAGAAGTCATCGTCGCTGTCCCCGTCCTCGTAGAGGAGTCGCAGCCGGCCCCCGATGACCGTGTCCACCACCGCCATGCGCGTCCGGGACACATGGTTCTTGTCCACCACCTCCACCCTCATGCCCTGCCGGAACGGGTACTTCATGCTCTCCGCCATCTGGCAACAACAAGCAGAGGAGGCGAGATCAATCCCACCCCGTCTCTTCCTTCCTGGAGACTTCAGAGAACAGCTTTCCCCCCACACAGCCTTGCAGAGCCCCAAACTGGCTGGGAGACACCTCTGGGAGGGGACACATGGGAGTGAGTTCACTGGGGGGGGCAGGGGGCTGCCAGCCCCACACAGGACAGCTTTCACATTTTTACTGTGTTCAAAGGTTGAGCAATGTGATGATCTACCAGCTTCAGCGCTAGAGATCCTGTACAGACTGACCCAAAGATGCAGGCACACTCAATGAGTCGCTACCTGCCTTCTGGCTGATTTTTGGAGACCTGCAGTTTGTTGGTAGCAGCCTAGCCCTACGCACCCACAAATAGACAGAGGTGTTTATAGAACACCAGACATTTTGGCACTGGGGGACCCAGAACGCTGTGAAATCAAGCCACTGCTCAAAACAGACCACCCAAACCAGCCAACACCTGACCCCAGAAGTTCAGAGGGAAGGTCCCCATCCCCACCGCTTCTGCTCATTAAGTGGGAGTGGGATGCTGGGAGGAGAAACATCCCGACAACATCTCCCTCTAGCACCTCCCTTCCATGGCACGAGCTCTCAGCTACAAGCTGAGACCCAGGAACACAGCAGCAGTCAAACAATCTTTCAGCTTCCAGAGAAGTAACGAAGAAAACAGAAGCTATCAAGGGCACCAGCACAGGTGCTCCCACGCACATTGAGGGTACCGGTGCCCCTCTGGGTCAAGCATCACTCATTGGTGGGAAGTACAGAGTAGTTTCTTTCCTCTCTCTCTGTGCTTCCATATGGTCTTTGCTTGTTTTCCCTCCCCTTTTATTTCCCTCTCCCACTTTCCTTTTCCCTTTAGTTAATTTATTTTTCCCTTAATAATAATTTTCCCTTAATAATTACTTTTCCTTTAATTAAATTATCATTTTCTCAACCCGTGAGTTCTTTTTTCCTTTTCTTCTTCCCCTCCTCTTCTGAGGAGGGGGAGTGAGAGCAGTGGTGGTGCAGTTCAGCTGCCCAGCAAGGTAAAACCACCAGGGCCCCAAAGGAGAAGTTGTGCTGCCAGGGCACGGGGGCTGAAGGAGGTACACGGGCATTGCACAGGTCAGAACCAGACCAGAAGTGTTCCCCACATACCTCTCGGCTTTATTTCCACAGAGCAACAGCTTCTCACACTTACCTTGATGTGGAAATCCACTGGGATGGTCCTGGCTCCCACCAGCTTCTTCATGAGGTAGCTTCTCCAGTCAGTGTACTTGGCATGAATACCTGGACACGCAGAGGGAGAGAGCACATCTTTAGGACCAAGGGACTGCCCTACACCTTCCCCCGCCCCATCTCTGAGCCCATCTGCATTAAAAGGCCTTCTTCACGCTCCAGTCCTGCACCTGCTCTCAGGTGGACACTGTTCTGCAGGCTTGTCCCCACATCACCGCTCCAGGAGGGACTGTGCCAAGCGGACATACAGCTCCACTCATCTCGAGTTGTGGTGTTACAGCAAACACGTGAGCCATACCAAGCACATCTGCTTGCCAGAATTCTGCTAAATTAGCATCCCCCTCCTAACCGCTAGCTGAGCAAGGGCTGGAGCCATTGTTTTGCTCAGAAGCACCATCTGGGATGTAGGACCAAGAAGTTCCCCCAAAGCTGAAGCCCAACAACCTCTGTGTGGGTCAGCAGGAGGAACGGCCACGGCACTGAGCCAACGTGCTGACCTCCCTCACCCCCCACTCACTTTGTGGTGGTACCAGGATTTTGCTGTTGATGGCACACCAGCCGATGGGATGAATATCCACCGTGCCCAAATTGCACCAGAAGTCATGGCCGGCGTCGTTCTCAAAGCCCTCGTACCGCAGGAGGGCCCTGTACCCTGCCAGGACAGAGCAGACAACCAGAGAAAGGTGTTAGAAACCAAGAATTTCTCTTCTGTCGGGTACCACAGGCTTATTCCCTACAGCATGGCCTTCAGAGCTCTGCACAGGTTATCAGAGCTTCTCCAACCATTCTGGCAGCAGAACTGCCATGTCCAGAGAAGGGCTGCACAGCTGGTGAAGGGCCTGGAGCACAAGTCCTGTGAGGAGAGGTTGAGGGAACTGAGGGTGTTTAGTCTGGAGAAGACGAGGCTCAGGAGAGACCTCATTGTTTTCTACAACTGCCTGAAAGGAAGGTGTGGGGAGCTGGGGTCAGCCTCTTCTCACACATAATGAGCAATAGGACTAGAGGGAATGGCCCCAAGTTGTGCCAGGGGAGGTTCAGGCTGGAAATGAGGAGACATTTCTGCTCAGAAAGAGCAGTCAGGCATTGGGATGGGTTACCCAGGGAGGTGGTGGAGTCACCGTCCCTGGGGGCGTTTAATGAAAGGTTGGACGTGGTGCTTGGGGACATGGGTTAGTGGGTGACACTGGTGGGAGGGGAGCAGTTGGACCAGATGATCTTGGAGGGCTTCTCCAGCCTTAATGATTCCGTGATTCTCTGAGGCTTCGCTTGAGCAGCTCTGCTCTGCTCTCTGCAGGTTCCCTCAGCAGCTGGCCGGGAGCCGTGCCAGAGGCGTACCTACGGTCTGGATGACGGACGCGATCCAGTACACTCGGCTGGGGAGCACGGCGTCGCTGTTCAGCACTTCCACCTTCATTCCTTTCACCACATCATCCCACTGATCGAAGAGCGGCACCTGAGGGGGCGAGGCAGCCACAATGGGAGAGGGACACTGACAGAACGTCACCTTAGACGCCGACTGGCACGCTCTGCCCCTCCCGTATCTGCCAGCAGCAACCGAACCGTGCCAAACATCTCTTCAGGGTGTTCACTGAGGACCCCAAAAGGCACGACACTGTAGTTCAGTGTTGCTCTGTTTCATTGCCAGCTGTCCTATAATCCCAAATTTGTTCGTACCACTCCTCTGTAGTATCAAAATCCCTAACTATCAATAAAATTGCCCTATCTTCCCGATCTACACTTAAGAAAAGTATTATTTTGTTAATATGAACCACATTTTAATAAATCAACTGAAAACAACTAAAAGAAAGAACAGAACAAGTGAGTTTAACACGCAGAGAGGATAGAGCTACTATGATACCTAAAACCTGCCCTCCTTCCATTTCTCTGCCTTGGCTCCTCAGCCCACAGGGCTCGCCAGTGCAGTCAGTGCCAGAGGAAGCAGAGCTGTTGGAGGGGCAGCTGCTGCCAGGCCTGGACGAGTTCCTCCCTGCACCCCACCCCGCGCTGTGCTCACCCACATGAACTGTGTGGGTAGCAGGGATCTGTCTCCTGCCCACCTCAGTCACACCTAATCCTGCCCCCAGCCCTTGCCTATCACCACTGGCAGTGTTTTTACCAAATCTGCCTCTGCTTCCTCCCCCAAAACTCATGGACTCCCTTTCTTAGCTGTGAGGAAACCCCAGCTTCCTTCCCTGCAGCTCCAAACCCCTCTCCCCGGTCTCTCCCCACCAGTCAGAGGAGCACGGGGGAGCCCCGTGCATGCAACGTGTCCCACGCACACCGCGTGGCACAGCCAAGAAGGACTCACGTGTTTGAAGCAGCTGACTGGAGCTGCCTTGAAGCCGTGCTCCTGCAGGTACTTTCCCCAGTCAAAGCCCAGGACAAGTGCTATGAGCAGACACAAGAGAGGAAAGTCAGGTGAGGAGGTAAGTAAAAGGCACAGAGCACTCAGCTACCCCTGGACTCCAGCGCACAGCCACGCTGGGGCCTGCTCTGGGACACAGCACTCTGCCCCAGCACGCAGGGGCTGCTCCGCCCGCTGCATGGACTGGCTGTCCCTAAAACCCACCCGTGAACAACTTGAGCTAAATACAACCCCAGTGGGCATGGGGGCAGCAATCAGCTGGGAGCAGCAGGGAGCCTGTAAGCCAGCACCTGGTGGGACTGGGACCACAGAGCTCACGCTTAGAGCCCTCCAAATGTCCTCATCCCTGTGGCTCTTGCAGCTGCACCTCCTCACACCTTGCCTGCACTCACCATCCTGGCCCGTCAGTGTCCCATCTGCCAGCTGCCCCGTGCCCTGCGAATGGAGGAAGGCCCCGATCTTGGCCGACCAGGCTGCCTTGTGCAGGACTTTCGCTTTCTTTGTTGGCGGTTTCCCCTACAAAAGAAGGAACATCAGTGGTACAGGAGGGGAGAGGAAGCCAGCTCCTGCAACTGGCAAGCAGAGGATGCACCTCTTCCCAGGGGGGATTTCCGAGTGACTACCATTTTTATTAATGCTCGCAGGCACAAGAAGTGGCAGCAAGTAAATTATCTTCTTCCCCAGCTTCTAGGAGGCAGCACCTCTCAGCTGGTGTGCTTTCTCTAGGGACGTTGAGCAGAAATAGCAAACCACTGGTAACGGCAGGCTGTGATCTCACTGGACAGCAGCCACCCACCCCCAGCACACCTGGACATCCTGCTCCATCACCAGAGACAGAGGAAGGATTTCGACTCACCTGCAGCCTGGCCAGGATGCTGGCCTTCTTGGAGTTCGAGGAGTAGCTTCTGGAGCAGGAGACACTGCAGAAACGTTTGGTCTTGGAGAAGAAAGCCTCCCTGGTTCCCACAATGCCACACATCTCGCACACAGCTGAGAGGGAAAGCAGAAAGGTGTGAGCAGTTGGCAGGGCTGACGCACTACAAGGACAGAGCTAAGGCCAGGTACCCCATATTACACATGGCAGCTCCCCCATGTAACCCAAAAAACGTTGTCCCAGTCTGATTCTGCTCCCAGAGCACGTTCAGGACAAAGTCCCATGCATTTCAGCCTCCCTCAGCCCTCATTCTTTCCATCTCGCACAGGAGAACAGGCAGGCAGTGCAGTACCTGGCTCAGAGCCGCTGCCCTCTGTGATCCGCCCCGCGTGTGGCTGGTGCACAGGGGAGGTCGGCAGCTCTCCAGCCTCCCGGTCCACCACCTCATCATCGCTGGACTCATCCAGGCAGGAGCTGCTGTCGCTGCCCACGCTGCTGTTGTAGCTCCGGAAGCTGTCGTAACCCCCAAAGATGTCCAAGTCGTCCTCTTCCTCTTCCTCCTCACCTTCCTCCTCCGTCCGCTCCAAAGATGAGGTCTTGTGGCATAAGGAAGACACCACCTGACAGAAGAACCAGTCTGATTTTAAACCAGACGTTTTATACCAAAACGCAGGAGACTGCGTCCTTCCAGCCTTTCCGTACAACCAGATGTCTCTACACCTAGACAGCTTCACCAGCTCCTCACACTACTGCAGCCAGCCAGGGACAGGTCCCACCCTGCTACAGCAAGAGAGCAGAGAGGCAGGGACAGAAGGGGAGGAACAGGAGCCCAGTGACTGTTCCTCAGACTAGGAAAATCTTGAACCAGGCTGGAAATAAGAGCATAAGAAGCTGGGAAAAGGCGTTAGCCATTGAAAAACTTTTTTACCAAAAGGGTTGTTAGGCACTGGAACGGGCTGCCCAGGGAAGTGGTGGAGTCACCATCCCTGGAGGTCTTTAGAAGACGTTTAGATGTAGAGCTCAGTGATATGGGTTAGCGTAGGACTGGTTAGTGGTAGGTCAGAGGTTGGACTGGGTGATCTTGGAGGATCTCTTCCAACCTAGAGGACTCTGTGTGAAACGAGCAGCAAGAAGCCAGCAGCAGCACGGGGAGAGGGCACGGGAAGGCAGACCAGAACCACATGGAGAGGCGCCAGGGGACGGCCGCTCATCCAAGCAGCCAACACCAAAGGCTCAGCAGCGGGCCCCTCACCTCGCAGCGGTGAATCCCCTCTGCTCGGTGGCTCGGGAGCCTTATCAGAGACACGAGCAGCGCCATGAGCCCGCACCCCCTGCACGCCGCCTGCCTCCCACACCACCCCACCGCGGGCTCCCCATCCTTTAACCTCTCTCCCCCGTAGCCCACCCCCAAAACCAGCGCTCCTGGCGCCCTACAACCCCTCGGCAGCCTCACAAAAGCCCCCCCGCCTCCTCCGCAGCCCTCCCTGCGGCCTCACCCCCCTCCAGCCCGCATGGACCCAGCGCTGCCGCCCGGCCCCGCGCCCCGCACCCCGGCGCCTCAGAGCCCCTCCTGCAGCAGCGGGAGCCCCCCCCGTTCCCCCCCATCCCCATCCCCGTCCCCGTCCCGCCGCTCACCTCCCCGTTCCCCTCCCGCTCCCGCTCCTGCTCCATGGCCGCCAGCCCGCCTCACGGAGCACCTCCCTCCCCCGGCCGCGGCTCTGAGTGGCAGCGGGCGGAGAAAATGGAGCTGGAGAGCCCCGGGGCTCGGCCCCGCCGCGGGGCGCCATGGGCACTGTAGGCCCCGGGGGCGCCGCCATGACGGCGGGCGGCAGGGAAATGGCGGCAAGGGGAGAGGCGTGAGGGGGGGGGGGCGAGCACTCTGTCTCAGAGATTTCAGACATAAACAGATCGTTGGTAAAAAGCGGTGCGATTTATTTTAAAGCTTGTGTGCGTTTATAGCATAGCTTCTTCATAGTACGAGTCTGCCCCTTTGGGTTATTTTTTCCCTGTGGAGAAGCACTGTGGTCTTAGTCATACTGCTAAAAACATCCCTTATCCCAGCTCACTGTCAAGAAAAGGAAAGAAACAAGTCTCTCTCCATATCTCTAGCACTGATTCTCTTCCATGCAAAAGCTACACCCTCTGGAGTTACAGAGGTATGGTGGTGGCGAGCTTGCAGAGCCTAATGTGTGCAACTTGATTGGCAAATTTCAGTAGCGTGTGGGGTCCTCCAGGTTCAGGTTTCCAAAACAATCCTCCGGGGCTGTTAAGAAAGAGAAAATTGCTTTTACAGTATTTAAACAACGCAGTTGATAACAAACTAAATCATAAAGCCTGCTATTCTCCTGCAAGTACTGCTAGAAGACAGTGTAATGTATGACAGACAAAAAAAGATGGTTCCAGATAAGACACCAATACCAAATTAAAACTTCATTAAATCTTTCTACTGCAGTAATTTTTTTTCATGCAACATGTTAGGAGCTATTGCTGGTGTGTAGCCCCTGCTTCCCAGAGCTGAACAAGCAGCACTGCTCCCTCAGGTCATGGACAGGCTGACTCAAGGCTGAAAGCCCTGAAAGCCCAAGTAAAAATGAGTCTTGTATGGACACAGGACAGGCTTAAAGATAGTCCCCATCCCATAGCTGTTTGTATCTTGTTGCTCTTCTTCATAAAACTTTTTGAAAAATAATTGTATTTAAATAGTTTCATTTTAATTTGAATCAGATTTAAATTGACTAAGGAATATTTCTATTTTCTTTAACAATAATAGGTTTTTATGCAACATTACTTGTAATGTCTCACGCTCACAGTTGCCACGTGTCAAGCGGTAATGTGCACAAGTCCACGTCCTTGGGGAGAGGAGTGAGTGTGCTCCAGCCTGACCGCTCTCCAGCACTCTGAGCCTCCCCAGAAGAGTAGCACCTTCCAGGCACTCATCCCAGTCCTCCACACATCTTCTTCTGGCCTCAGCACCATCCCAGAGTGAGGCAGATGAGCTATATGTGCAGCTATAGTGTTGCTCCAGCTATCCTTGTATGGGGCCAGCTTTCTGGCCAAGAAGCTTCATACGCATTTCTCAATCAGAACGCACTGAAGAACCACCCCTTCTAATTTGGCTTCCTTACATCTACATTCATGTTTCCTGAACCAGGGTCCTGTATCTATTATCATATAATGGACAGATGACCGTAAAGTCAGATGGTAGAAGCCTACCTTGCATGTCTGGTACTGCCTCTCACTGTCTCAACAACACTGCATCTTTGTAAAGCTAGTTGCTGTCTTTAAGGATGTAACAGTACAGATAATGTCAAGAAACCAAGCCCCAAAATTTAGATTAGACTTCACTTTTCCTATCTCCTTCTCTAATAATTTTCCTAAATTCTTCTCTGAGCCAAGTATCTGTGAAACGATGTGGGCAAAATGCTCAAGAGTATATAGGAAAGACAGTACACAGTCATGCTGCACCAAGTAGTAAGTAATCCAGCTGTTCTTACTCGCAGACATTCCTGGCTGAGGCTGTCCCATGTTGGGCCCTTGATTCATGGGAGCCTGTGGCATGCCTGGTGCATTTGGTATCATGTTTTGCTTCTGCAGCCTGATTCTTCGCTTTTCCTCCAACTCCTTCTGAAACTTATAGATCCTCTCAGCTAGCAGCTGATAGTACTCTGCCTGCAGGGGAGGAGCACAAGTCAGGAAAGGAGATGCATTAAGTAAAGGCAGCGGGTCACAGTAATCAAAGTAATCAAATCAATTGAGGGGGTGAGGGAAGAAAGGGGAAAGAAGCTCTTCCTTTGCAGGTACTGTCATGAAGCTTTGTGCTGCCTTTGCAAGACCCCAGCAAGTCTCAAGCACAGCACAACACCACAGGCACCACCCCGAGTCCCAGCACACCAGGCTGACACCAGCAGCCCTGGCACATGCTCTTCCTCAGCCTGGGAGGCTTATCTGTGCATCCACTCCTCCTCCTCCCCAGTCACTGCCAAGGGGCTCAGAGATGTGCAAATGATGACAGAGGACAGTATCTCACCCTGCTATTTGCCAATTCATACATGTCGCCTTCCACCTTCCGAGCATATGCCACCAGCTGCTCCATCCGTCGATCCTTCAGTGCTGCAGGGTCACGAATAGGCAATATGGCTAGGACGCTGAAGAAAAAGCACACAAGCTATTAGGTTGTCTCCGAACCAGTGATTCAGTGGAAGAATTCTACAAATCAAAGCAAATTAGTTATAAAGTAGGTAGCGGTTTATTTCGGTGCCGGGCACATGTGAGATAGCTCCCAAAGGCATGCGCACCCTAACACGGCAACTTGCTTTGGTTATATGCAGTAAAGAGTTACAGATGCATCAGGTTTCCCAATATGCCTACACATATGCATAACCTATCCCCACTTCGTATTACAATTAGCTCCAAGAAGTCCTTTCTATAAACTCCTCCCATCTGCATTTGCACAGTGCCTTCTGCTGGTGGTCATCGGGGGTTAGTGGGGATGAAGGCTGATAACTCTTCTTCATCACCACTAGCTGACCCCCTGCCTTTGTACAGATTCAGCTGTTCCTTGGGTCTTGTCCAAACCACAAGGTCAATCTCATATGTTTTTTGAGACAGGTTCCCCATTTTGTCAGGAAAACCTCTGTGAGGGGCCCCGAGACTCCTTGTTTTGTCTTATTTGCACATTAGTAAGCAAAGACACTCAGCGATATCTATTTTAATGCAATTAAGTGAGCCCCCATTCTTCCATTCCTCGCTTTAATAATGTAGTGGGTTTATGTGGTAAGGTTTTGGTAGCAGGGGGCCATAGGGGTGGTTTCTGTGAGAAAGATCTAGAAGCTGCCCCATGTTTGGGAAGGGCCCCATTGTTTTCCAGATCTGAGCCAATAAGCGATGTTGTTTTGCGCCTCTGTGAGAGCATATTTAAGACAGGAAAAAAAACGCTGCTGCCACACAGCAGCCGGGAGAGTCAAGGGAGTGAGAAAACAGCCTTGCAGGTGCCAAGGTCAGTGTAGAAGGAGGGGGAGAGGTGCTCCAGGCGCCGGAGCAGAAGTCCCCTGCGGCCTGTGGTGAGGACCATGGTGAAGCAGGATGTCCCCCTGCAGCCCATGGAGTACCACGGTGGAGCAGTGTTCCATGCTGCAGCCCGTGGAGGAGACCACAGTGGAGCAGGTGGCCCTGCACCAATGGAGGCTGCCGCCTGTGGAAGACCCCTGCCGGAGCAGATTGCGGGCCGGACCTGTAGCCCGTGGAGAGGAGACCACGCAGGAGCAGGTGACCTGGCAGGAGCTGCTGCCCATAGGGGAGCCAGTTGGAGCAGTTTTCTCCTGAGGGATAAACCCCATGGTACGGACCCATATCTGGAGCAGCTCTGGAAGAGCTGCTGCCTGTGGGAAGCCCACGCCGGATCAGTTCATCAAGGACTGCATCCCGTGGGAGGGACCCCACAGCACAGGGGACGAGAGTGACCGAGAAGGAGTGGCGGAGAATGAAGTGCTGTAGACTGACCATAACCCCCATTCCTCTGTTCCCCTGCACCGCTCGGGGGGAGGAGGTGGAAGAGGGTGGATGGGGGGGGAAGGTGCTTTTGGTTTCTTTTCTTTGTTTCTCACTTCTCTAGCTTGTTAGTAATGAGCAATAAATCTTACTATCTGTCTTCTTATGCTGAGTCTGTTTTGCCCGTTACAACAATTATTGTGTGATTTTCTCATCCTTATCTCAATCCTTGAGCCCTTTTCACATATTTTCTCCCCATTCCTCTTTGAGGAGGGGGAGTGAGAGAGCGGCTGTGGTGGAGCTCGGCTGCCCACTCGAGCGGAACCACAACATAAGCAAGCCCCCATTCTTCTATCCCTGGCTTCACCAGGGCCTCAGCACCAACACAATGGGATGGCAACACAAAGCAGCAAGCAAATCATCTGACAGACTGAGGATTTTGTTATTAGCTACTCACAATTTATGAGCAAGTTCATCGCGCATAACCGGAGTGACCTGCTCATGCCAGGGCTTGCAGCTGGCCCCAGATGGGAGAGAGCCTTCTGGCCCCTGGCTGGAGGTGCAGGGGAACATGGCAACCCAGGCAGCCGCAGCTTACTGAGGGAAGCACCAACAGAACCTCCTGGGAAATAAAACCGAGAAAAAGCAAGAAACTGTAAGAGCACAGGGACGTTTCCGGTAGGGCGGGTAGATAGCTTGGGAGGGGTTACTGGGGAAAAAAGTGCCGCTCCCTCACTGATCTGCTCTGAGGTGAGCAGGGGAGGCAGCATCCGCCCCGCTGAGCCGGGTGCCCCCCGACCCCTCCGTGCTGCAGACCCAGAGGCGGGGAACAGCCTGCCCAGCTCTGCCGGGAGAGGGAAATGGAGACCATCATCTGTGCGGCCATCGTGGGTGCCTGCGAGCAATTGCATTCTTGGGAGTGTCACGTTTTGGCAGCAGGCCCTGAATGTACACAGTTTTAAAACTTCCTGTGTGGAAGCAGCCGGTGTTTCCCTTACTGATTCAGGATCCTCTGGCAGAACCTTCCTTGGCAAAGGCAATGCCACCTGCTTGGCCATGACATTTTTTTAATTGACAGCGCGTCCTACCTTACGTGTGAACACGTAACAGCCTTCTTAGATGTAGGAGATTTAAACCCCCAAAGATTTAACCATCTGGGAGATAAATCCTTCAGTTTTAAGTATTTATACCCCCCATCTCCACCACTAAATTTGCCTTTCAGTGCTGAGCTGCGCTACCTGTTTGATTCCTCCACAAGCCTGGGAGGATAGCGTAGAACTTAGTAGTATGGCTTAGCAGTGGACTTGTAAGTATTAGGTTAAAGATTGGACTAGATTGATTCGTGGAAGAACTCTACAACTCCAAGCACATGAGTAATAAAGTAGGTACGTGGTTTATTTTGGTGCCGGGCACATGTGAGATAGCTCCCAAAGGCATACGCACCCTAACACGGCAACTTGCTTTGGTTATATGCAGTAAAGAGTTACAGATGCATCAGGCTTCCCAATATGCCTACACATATGCATAACCTATCCCCACTTTGTATTACAATTAGCTCCAAGAAGTCCTTTCTATAAACTCCTCCCATCTGCATTTGCACAGTGCCTTCTGCTGGTGGTCATCGGGGGTTAGTGGGGATGAAGGCTGATAACTCTTCTTCATCACCACTAGCTGACCCCCTGCCTTTGTACAGATTCAGCTGCTCCTTGGCTCTTGTCCAGACCACAAAGTCAATCTCATCTGGTTTGTGAGACAGGTTCCCCATTTTGTCAGGAAACATCCTCTGTGAGGGGCCCCGAGACTCCTTGTTTCAGTTAATTTGCATAGTAGTAAGCAAAGACACTCAGCGATATCTATTTTAATGCAATTAAGTGAGCCCCGCATTCTTCCATTCCTGGCTTTAATAATTACGATTGTTTTATTTAGAAGTCATTAATTTGATTAAGCCCTAGTCTTCTATCCCTGGCTTCAAGATGATCTTGGAGGTCTTTTTCAACCACAACCATTCTATGATAGTGCCATCACCGCCTCTTGCCAGGTCACCTTCCCCAGCAGAAGGGGCAGTCTGAAGGAACAGTATGTCCAGCCAACAGCAGATGATGAGACACCACAACATCCATATGGCCTGGTGCATTACATACAGTTTACCAAGGCAGAAACCCTTTTACAAGTGCTTTCTTAAGTCACAGTTAAGAGCGCTCTCTCCTTGTGGTGACAGCAGGGAACTGTTTGAGAGACTTCAGCACAGAGCCACAAGGATGATTAAGGGAGTGGAGCATCTCCCTTATGAGGAAAGGCTGAGGGAGCTGGGTCTCTTTAGCTTGGAGAAGAGGAGACTGAGGGGTGATCTTATTAATGTTTATAAATATGTAAGGGTTGAGTGTCAGGAAGATGGAGCGAGGCTCTTCTCAGCGACATCTAATGATAAGACAAGGGACAAAGGGTGCAAGCTGGAACACAGGAGGTTCCACTTAAATGTGAGAAGAAACTTCTTAACCGTGAGGGTGACAGAGCATTGGAACAGGCTGCCCAGAGAGGTTGTGGAGTCTCCTTCTCTGGAGACATTCAAAACCTGTCTGGATGTGTTCCTCTGTGACCTGATCTGGGTGTTTCTCCTCTACGCGGGGGACTGGACTAGATGATCTTTCAAGGTCCCTTCCAATGCCTAACATTCTGTGATTCTGTGATTCTGTGAATTGGGCCCAGGTGATGGAAAAAAGGCTTGAAATCCTCCAGTACAAGCTTGGACAGTGAGCAAACAGAAGAGCACTTGAGATCTGTTATTTTTTAACACATTATTTTGGGCTTCTAACTTTTGGCAGCACTAATCCAGCCAGTGAATGTGGTTACAAGCCATGGCAGCATGATTGCTTGCTGTTAGACGCAGGTTTTACCTCAGGCCTTAGGCCGCCCTGGCTTGCAGTCACCAGGCTTGGTGAGGTGTCTGTTGCATGGCTCCCAAACCTCTGCTCACCAGAGAGACATTGAGTCAGGAGCTCATTTCAGTGCCACACTCCAGAAGAAAAGGGGAAAACCCCACAAAGTCAATCTGAAAATAAGCCTTCTGATTTTAACTCCCTGCCCTATTCTGATCCTGAACAACAATACGGATTTGAATAAATTTCATTCTCCCTTAATCCATCAGAGCCTACTGAATTGCGAGAGAACCAGCTCTGTGCTTCTGTAAGAAGAACCTAATGTCTAGAACCTAGTCTAACGGGGAAGGGAAATGTGTTAGTCTCACTCCCTTGCCACCTGCAACACACTGCAGCCATACAACACACAAAAATCATCCCCCTGAAGCTATATAGATTCCTGCTCGACTATGTATAACAGTGCAGGGTGTGGTGTGGTGTGCTCCAGTGTGTTTGGAAATGAAGGCAAGGGGAAGGTGCATCTGCCGAAGCTGCGCAGAGGCCATGGCACGAAGAGGAGGGAGCCGTTTTCTTAGGCAGGTGACATACATCCTCAGCAGTGGTCATTGCAGCAAAAGAATCAGTCTTCACAGCATGTCCTTGATCCTTTAAATTTGTCTCAGATATTTACATACATCTGGGAACACTGAGCTGCAATTCAGTGCAACCTCCAGCACAAAGAACATCATGAAGAAATTAAACATTGAAAGGCAAGATAAACAAACCCTTTGTAAGAAGTTGGGTCTCAGAAAAATACAGCTCTCTTTAAAGGAACACATACGTTTCCATTGACCCAGGACATGCACAGACAGTTCCAGAAGAGGACTGACATAAAAGAAGAAGCCACTGCTTTGTAAGCATCATGAGTACCAGAGAATGGCCTATAGAAGCCTCCATCATCGCACAGCAATGCATATTCCAAGGAAGAATCCATTTTAAAACAAGGCACTTGTTTTATTGCATAGTTGATCATGACAGGTTGGATGCAGAGAACAAGTTCCTGAATTCCCCTTCAAAACAGAGAACAAAAGTGCCATAGACACCTGTTTTTAGTCTGATCAACAGAGAAACAAGCAGTGCAGTAACTGTAGGTGCCAAGGCCATGCACAGATGCTTATTTCTGAACAGGAACATCCTCTCTCAAGAGTCGTGGGGCAGGGAGGCATTTACATTCAGCCTCATTTCCCCACCACCACATCTGAGTCTTTTTTTTTAAAAGTGACATCACAGGGCTGGGTACTTTGGTGCCTCTGTCGCATGCACCATCACCATCTGCAGACCATTAAGAAGGGCAGTATTGAACTCCTGCTGTCCATGTGTGATCCAACAGGACATTAATGCTAGTCTCACCTGCTACTTAATTGCTGGCTCCGGGCTTGCACAAGGCGGCTGAGGCTGCAGGGTGGCTCCTGCTGACACTCAGGAGGAGCCCAAGTGGATTAGCTCGTGTCTCCTCACAGGCTGCAGAGAAACTCAGCTGGGCTGGGCAGTGTGTGCTGCGGGTTTCAGCAGCAGTGCCAAGTAAGGACAAAGACTTGTCTTACCTGTGGGTTTGTGTGAGTCAGCATACACCACAGGCTGGAAGCCAGTTGGGACACCAACCGAAAAAGCAAGTCCCAATCTTTGACTGGACAGAGATGTAATGCGACTGTGCTCGAAGCAAATGAAATTCCTTGTCTCAGCACAGCACTGATCCAGCACCACGCTCAGTAGCTGATGCCTCACCTACAACCTGTTGCCAGCTCTCCGTCCCTCAGAGGAACCTTTCAGATCTTCCTCCAGCAGAAAAGAAAATGTGCTGCTCCATAAACCAAGCAGGCTGCATGAGTTATGTAGGGATGAGGTTTTTTTTGTCTCCTTCACATGCCCCTATAACACCTTTTCAGAAAAGACACAGCACATGGTTCACAGCCCAGGAGCAACATGTGTTATAATGGGTGAATTAAAAAACAAAACAAAACAAAAAATAAACCAACCAACCAAACAAACAAAAAGGATCTCCAAGATACCTGCCCCAAAAGTTTTCCTTAGAGAAACATGAAGTTACTGACCCACTCACACAGGAAGAACACAGGATTCTCTGTCTGCTGCTCTTCACTCTCACTGCAATTGCAAGAAAGCACAAGAAAAGGAAATGCCTGAAGGCCCTTCAGCTTCAGGAATTAGGGTTGCTACGAGCAGAAAATGGGGTCCAGGCTACCACTGCTGTGTTGCAGTCACCCTCTCCTGGACCTGCTACATCACTTGCCAGGTGTCATCTCCCAGCCAAGGTGCTAGAGCCACCCCAGCTTCACCAGGAGCTATGAAGGGCTTCAAAGATAGCTCAGGTGCCAACGGTAATACTTCCACCCCTCCAAATCCACCGCACTCCCTACAACATGGAGCAGAGACGGGAACCATGGCTCATTGCCCATCAGCACCGGTTACAGAAACAGGTTTCCTTCTCGAACGTCCCCTGTGTGCACAATCCCTCCGGAGGGGTTACAGGCAAGACCCCGCTCTAAGGAAGTGCAACTAAGGCAACTTAAGGCAATCATCAAGCCCCTGTTTTTCTAAACGAAGTGTCAGATCAAAGTCGGCTCAGGCAAACACCAGTGGCAGGCAAATAAATGCCTGGTAAGGCTGACGGAGCAGCCCCATGGCTTTTTGACAGTGGCTCAGAAATAGATGCTGCTGAAAGCACTGCAGGTGCAGCCTGGTGTGCTCTCACACTTTCAGGGGCCAGTCTAGGCTCTGTCTCAGGTCAGGATCTATAGCATGTGATCT